TCACATCAATTTTGGTGAGGTTGTGAAACAACTAGCATTCTCAGACATTGTTAATAGGAATATAAAATTGTACCGGCATCATCTCACATCCATTGGAAAGACCCAAATCAAAGACTGACAATACTAAATTGTGTAAGACTGTTGGGCACCTGGAATTCTCATATATTCTGGTAATGTGTAAAATGGCCCAACCCAACGATGGGTAACTGATGCAGTTTCTTATGAAAATAAACACACATCTTCTCCATGACCTAGTCATTCAGTCCAACACTAACTCAAGATACATAAAAAGTCATGCTGAAAAAAAAGACTTTTAGAAGATTTTCAAAGCAGCCTTTTTTCACACAAACCCCAAACTGTAAATATCTCAAATGTCAACAGGTAAGAATTAAACAAACTGCAGTATAAATAGAAAGGAACTCTACTCAGCATTAAAAAATTGCAGACTTTCAATATATGCAAGAACATGTCTAAACCTCAACAAACAGTAGAATTCAGACACAAAAAATACACTCTGTGTGATTTCATTTATAGGAAATTCAGGAACTTGCAAAACTGATACATGGCGAGAGAAATCAGAAAGCCAGTGCCTTGGGAGGAGAGGAATTTACTAAAAAGTACACATTAGACCTTTTGTTGTTAAAGAAAATGTTCTTTTATCTGGTTTTGAGTGTTACACAAAATGACAAAGCTCATTAAGCACAATACTGTATTCAACGCATCTCACTGTGTGTTACTTGTATAAAAAAAAAAAAAATTAGAGAAAAATGTTTTGTTAGCACTGGTGCCACTGCTAAGAATCCCGACCACAAATAGATGAGAATTTAAATCCAGATTCTACAATAGCTTGTCAGACCTTCAGCAAGTTAATTACCATCCTTTGCCTCAATTTACTGAGGTGTAAAATGGGGGCAAACACTTGCTAATTTGGTGAGGACTCAATATACAGGGTATGCAAAACTGAGGATGGTATTTGATCAAACAGTAAGCATTCAATAAATTGCAGTTACTCTATTTTAATGAACTCCTCCAATTCTCCTTTTCACTCCTAGTAATTCTGACATAGCCTATGCTTTTTTTTTCTGTTAATGCTCAATCTTTCTATTCGGAGAAAGCTCATGAATCTCCCACAGTTTTGGATGTTTTTTTTGCCTTTCTATTACTACTGCCAGCATCACCCGCTCCACCTCACCCCCACATTCCAGGCAGAAATGAATACTCAGTTATTTGCATCAACTATGACCAATATTAGTTTTAAACAAAGAAACAACATTGCACTAAAAATACCGTATTAGTATCCCCATGGGACTGTAATGTCCAGTGCCTCATTTTTCTTTGTAGCTCTGCTTCATACACACAGCATCGCGTTGGGCACACAGTGAATACTTAATAAAGGACATTTTGTAAATAAATGACTGTAGGCTTTGCTAAAATCATAACTAATTATTTTACTGACATAAATATTTACAATAAGCCTAACAACTTCAGAGATATGAAAAATAAGCACTGTTGGTTTTAATCTTATACTTCCATTCAACAGCTCACTGCTGATTACTCAGGATGAGCTGGGGACACAATAGTGAACAAAATAGGCTTTCAGGCTACATGGAGGCGCCTTTTTTGTGGCGAGCCAGATAATAAGCATACAAGTTCTTTATATACCTGGCTCAATGATTTTCCTACTCCTATTTGCCTGTCCTCTGCTCTCCTTTATCCAATTTTTTCAATTATGTGTGTTATATATTCAGGTGAATAGTGAAAGTCTCATCTAATTAGAAGATAGACAGACACCCTCCTTCTGTGTATTGTTTGCCTTTTGTTTTCTGTGCACCTTGGATTTGTAAGGTGTTTCATGAAGAAGCGAGGAAAGGAAATCTTGACACCATTTTGTTCAGCAAAATGGAGATGGAAAAGCATAGACACAGAGGGAGTGGGGAGTTTAGTAGTCTGGAATAGATCCACAAAAAGAAGGGAGTTTGGGGAGACCTGTTTGAAGTTTGGGGTCTAGATTCCCACCAGACTCAGGACAGTACAGTCCTTCCTCTGTATACGGTGGAGACGGGTTTAAAGACAAAAATTTAAGGATGCACAAGTCCTTTATATAAAGTGGTGTCGTATTTGCTTACAATCTGTGTTCATTCTCTAATATATTTGAAATCTTCTCTACACTCCTTACAATACTGAAATATTGCAAGTATTATGTAAATAGTGGGTATGTTGTATTGTTTTGGAAATAATAGGGAAAGAAGTTCAGCACAGATTCAACCATTCCAGACCTAACTACATGTGTGTAACTGACCCTTGAGCAACATGCATTTGAACTACCGGGACCCATTTATATGTGGACATTTTTCAATAAATGTAATAAATGTATTTTTCTGTCTTAAGATTTTCTTTGTGACTTTGTCTTTCTTTTGCTTACTTTATTGTAAAAATGCAATCTGTAATAACATAAAGTCTCATCAAACTGCTTATGTTTATTAGTAAGGCTTCCAGTCAACAGCAGGCTGTTAATTAATTTCTGGGATTTATATGTGGATTTTCGACATTGTGTGTGTGTGGGGGGGTTGGTCAACATCCTTATGTTGTTCAAGGAGGAAATGTATTTTCAATTCACTTTTGGTTGAACCTGCGGGTGTGGAATCAGCAGATCCCATTATTGGACAAGTTCAATTATTGGACTTGATGTTATTAACACTATCAGTGTTCACAAAGGGGCTAGCTGTCAAGTGGCCTTGGTCTGAATGCGCTTCTTGTCTAAAACAAGCCAATGTATTTCCCGGGAAAGAAAAATGATTTACACACGATGACTGGTCCCACCAGAATCACACTACTGATGCTTCAGTTTTTCTCCACGAGAAGCTGCAAAGATGCTGATATATGACTTGACTACATCCCATTTCTAAGATCACCAACATGTTTACCCCCTTCATAATTCCTGATGCTTTCTTTTTGGCTTCTGCTTTACCTCTGGGCAAAAATGGGGACTCTACACATAATGGGTTTGGTAGGAGCTGACATTACACGTTGATACTCTTGATGGAGCGCCAGTGATAGAGAGAACAATTTGGTCCTGCCGGCGGTCATTCATTTGTGGGGGATGACCTAGAGCATGGTGGGCTGATGGTTAAATCTGCTATAATCCTGAAAAAGAAATGGTTAATGGATGAACTTAATCTCTGGGGAATGTGTACATTTAAATTAGAGCAGGGAAAAGCATTCTTCAGTGATGGTGGAAATGTCATTATCTGGAGAGTGAGTTGACCTCAAGGCTATTAACCAATAACCATGCGGGTTATATGTCAGAGTTAGCCCCTCTGGAAATGGTACTAAACCCTCATAAAACTGAGAAGTCCTGTGCAGATAGATTATTAACCCCCGAGAAAGACCTAGAAGCCATGAAGCTTGTCAGGATCTATTTAGGAGAAGTAGATTTCTGGATTTTAATACGGGTGACCATGAAAGAACCTTTGCCTTTGAAAAGGAAAATGTTCCTGAAGGTTATCAATTCTGATTTCTCTTCCCTTTAATTGCCAGGGGGGTGGAAAAAAAAAAACAGCTATATGGAACTAAAAACCCTCTCAAACTCTTCGTTCATTATTTAAGGCAGTAATGACCTTGGGGATGTGTATATGCCTTCATTGGGATCCATAAATTACAAAATTTGAGGAACACCCTTAGGGTTACCTCAGGAGGATTTGGGTATAGCCTTCACCATTCTCGTCCGCCCCCTTGTGGCCTCTTGAGCTTTTCCCGCTTTTAGTCAATCAAGATTCGTGCCCTAGGCTGTGAGCAGCCTCTTCTATAAGAAACATCCTCACGTTGAGTGTTTTCGTATATTTGTAGAAAACGAACCACCTACAATGTAGACGGTCACTTCCTTTCAGAACGAAGTACAGTGTCACTCAAAGATGTTGACGTGCTCTGCTTTACCTGTTAATTCATTATGTCTAATTTTTAAGCTGATTTTGTCCATGAGTAGATTTCCCCCAAGTTTTATATTTCATCCTTTATCTTCCTTTTCCCTATATATTAACATTGGACGTCGTCACCCAGGATATTAATGTCTAACGTACCTTTTAGTTTTCATATGTATAGTTTCTTTCGTGCTGTGCAACTGATGAGCAACATCAAGGCAGCCCCTGGGTCTTATATCCCATACATTCCACAGGCTTCCACCCCACCTCCGCTTGCCACTGCCAGCTGAAATGCCTTCATTTCCAGAATTCTCTCTACTCTTTGCCATCACTTTTCTCTGCCTGTGTCTCAACCGCATTCAAGTCCCAGCTCAGGAGTTGCAGTCGTGGCTGACTTCTGCAACCACATTCCTGCCTCAGCTCTATTTTCATGACAAAAGTGCCCTGACTTACAGCACAGTTTTCTCCTGCAACCCAAGCCATTATGCAAGCCTGTCTGCGGGGCATTTCTCGTTGGCAGCCCCCCAGCACTGTCAATGCCTATGTCCCAACAGGGGACTCATCAGTCTCTCCTCCTGTGCGCCCCCCTCTACGCACCTCAGAGCTCCAACCCCACCAACCATCCCCCACGGTGGGACAGAGATCTCTGAGCCATCAGCATCTCTTACTCTTCCATTAAATTCTAACAGCTGCCTACTATGCCTCCTGAGTCACTCTCGTGCGTACACACTTCTTTCATCCTGCTGGTGCTCTCTGGGCTGAGACTGCACCATGTCCCCCCTCCACGCTCCCGGTGGTCTCTCCCCACTGTCCACTGCAGCACCGTGATTTCTAAAAACCTGGATTTGCCCCTGTCACTCCTCTGTGAAAAGTCATCCCAGAAGAGTTTGACCAGGCAGCAATTGGGGACTGGACAGGGCGAGCAGGGATCTTGTGTCAGCCAGCATTTCTGGTAGACGCCCCTCTGCGCTATCCACTTGCGGTGGTCGGGGGCGGGGAAGGGGCGGGATCGAGCCCCCTCCCTCTTCCCCCAGCTTTTAACTGCTGGCTCCGCGCTGCTATAAGAGTTCACTTCCTAGTTAGGCTGCGGGGAGGAGGTTCGCCTGGCCGGCCACGTAGGCGTTCTTTTTTCCTCTGGAGGAAAAGGCCCAGCAGCTGTCGGAGGAAAAGACCCACCAGCTGTCGGAGTGAAAGGACATGTCTCAGCTAAGTAAGAATTTGGGAGATTCGAGTCCCCCCGCGGAGGCCCCCAAGCCCCCGGTCTATAGCCGCCCCACGGTTCTGATGCGGGCCCCGCCCGCCTCCTCCCGGGCGCCGCCGGTCCCCTGGGATCCTCCCCCGATTGATCTGCAGGCTTCGCTGGCCGTTTGGCAGGCGCCGCAGCCCGCCTGGGAGGCCCCGCAGGGTCAGCCGCCTGCCCCGGTGGCTCCGATGGCCCAGCCCCCGGCTCTGGGGGCCCCGCTGGTCCAGGCTCCCCCTCTGGGGGGCCCGATGGGCAAGCCCCCGACTCCCGGAGTCCTCATGATCCACCCGCCCCTCCGGGAGCCCCGATGGCGCAGCCTCCGACCCCAGGAGTCCTGATGATGCATCCCTCGGCGCCCGTGGCGCCCCTGGCCCACGCTCCCCCTCCGGGGGCGCCCCTGGCCCATCCTGCTCCTCCGGGCACCCCGATGGCGCATCCTCCCCCGCCGGGGACGCCGATGGCTCATCCTCCCCCTCCGGGGACTCCGATGGTGCATCCTCCGCCTCCGGGGACACCGATGGCGCATCCTCCGCCTCCGGGGACACCGATGGCGCACCCTCCCCCGCCGGGAACCCCGATGGCCCAGCCTCCGGCTCCGGGAGTCCTGATGGCACAGCCTCTGACTCCGGGAGTCCTGATGGTCCAGCCTCCTGCCCCGGGAGCTCCGCTGGCTCAGCCTCCGCCCCCAGCCGCCTTGATTGCCCAGCCTCCGCCGCCGGGAGCCCAGATAGCCAAGCCTCCAGGTCCCGGAGTCCTGATGATTCATCCTCCAGGTTCGAGAGCTCCCATCGCCCAGCCTGCAGCTACAGGAGCCCCCCTGGTGCAGCCGGCCGCCCCACCTGCGCAGCCTATGGCTTCTTGGGCCCCCCAGGCTCAGCCTCTGATCCTGCAAATCCAGTCTCAGGTTATAAGGGCTCCTCCGCAGGTTCCCCAGGCCCCGCAGGCCCCGCCGGCGCAGCTGGCCACACCCCCGGGCTGGCAGGCCACCTCGCCGGGATGGCAGGCCCCTCCGCAAGGCTGGCAGGCCACGCCCCTGGCCTGGCAAGCCACACAGGTCACCTGGCAGGCTCCGACAATCACCTGGCAGGCGCCGCCGCCTGTGCGCCAGGGCCCACCACCCATCCGACCCGGCCCGCCGCCCATCCGACCTGGGCCCCCACCGGTGCGCCAGGCCCCACCTCCGATTCGCCAGGCTCCTCCGCTGATCCGCCAGGCACCACCGCCCATCAGGCCTGCCCCGCAGGTCCTGGCCACCCCACCGCATCTCTGGCAGGCCCTGCCACCCCCACCGCCTCTGCGGCAGGCACCCCAGGCTCGGCTGCCTACTCCGCAGGTGCGTGCAGCCCCGCAGATGCGGGCAGCACCGCAGGTGCCGACGGTGCAGCAGGTGCCGACGGTCCAGCAGGTGCCCACGGTGCAGCAGGTGCCGACGGTCCAGCAGGTGCCGACGGTCCAGCAGGTGCCCACGGTCCAGCAGGTGCCGACGGTCCAGCAGGTGCCCACGGCTCCTCCTGCTACGCAGGTGCCCACAGCACCTCCTGCCGGCCCCCAGGCACCCCAGGCGGCACTGTCCGTCCCACTGTCGGCCCCTCGGGTGGCCCACTGCCCACCCATCATCTGGCAGGCCCCCAAAGGCCAGCCCCCGGTGCCACATGAGCTGCCGACATCGATGGAGTTCCAGGAGGTGCAACAAGCCCAGGCGATAGCCTGGCAGGCGCCGAAGCCACCTGCGCATTTCTGGCAGCCCCTGCCCCCCCAGGAGGCCCAGAGGCAGGGCCCACCGCTGATTCAGCTGGAGCAGCCCTTTCAGGGGGTCCCGGCCTCCCAAAAGGCCTTGCAAATCCAGCTACCCCCCCAGCAGGCCCAGACCACGGGTGCGCAGGCAGAGCTGCCAACCATGCAACTCCAGCCCTCCTGGCAAGGGCCCCCTGCAGCAGTGCAAGGGCAGCCCGGAGCCCCCATAGCGGCAGCAAATTTTCCCATGGGTTCCCCTAAATCACTCATGACTCCATCGGGAGAATCCAGGGCTTCTTCTATAGAACGGAGGACCTCTTCTAAAGAACGTAGGACCTCTTCGAAGGAGCGCAGGGCTCCTTCGAAGGATCGCATGATCTTTGCCGCCACTTTCTGTGCTCCAAAGGCAGTGTCGGCTGCCCGAGCACACCTGCTGCCTGCCTGGAAAAACTTGGCTGCCACACCGGAGACCTTCACTGCCACCTCCAGGGTCTTTCCAGCTACCTCCCAGTTCCAGCCTGCCTCTTCTAATGCCTTTAAGGGTCCTTCTGCCACCTCAGAGACCCCGAAGTCACTGCCACTTGCTCTGCAGGATCCATTTGCCTGTGTAGAGGCTCTGCCTGCTGTGCCATGGGTTCAACAGCCCAGCGTGAATGCCTCCAGGGCACCCAAGGCAGTGCCCAGCATCTTGATGGGTGCGGCAGCTGTGCCCCCCGCGGTGGCCACCACTCAAGAGGCCTCGAAGACCTCCGCTGAGCCTCCACGTCGCTCAGGCAAAGCCACCCGGAAGAAGAAGCATCTGAACACCGAGGAGGAAAACAGTGGCCAGATGATGGCCCTGCGTGACTGGCAGGGCCCACGGCCCTGGGACAATCTGAACTTGAATGACTGGGAGGTTCAAAACCCTACCCAGATCTTGGGTGACTGGGAGACCCCAAACATCTCCCATGTCTTGAGTGGCTGGGAGGGCCCCAGTACCTCCAGGATCCTGAGTGGCTGGGAGGGGCCCAGCACATCCTGGGCTCTGAGTGCCTGGGAGGGTCCAGGCACCTCCAGGGCCCTGGGTCTCTGGGAAAACCCAGGTAGCCCCCAGCCCCTGATTATCTCTGAGCTTACATGTCTCTCTCAGGGATTCGGTGCCACCCAGGATGAGCCCAAGTTGGAGACTCAGCCACTGTCTCCCTTGGATGAAAGAGCAAATGCATTGGTGCAGTTCCTCTTGGTCAAGGACCAAGCCAAGGTGCCCATCAAGCGCTCAGAGATGGTGAAATTCATCATCCGTGAATACAAAGATGAGTGCTTGGATATCATCAACCGTGCCAACAATAAGTTGGAGTGCGTCTTTGGTTATCAATTGAAGGAAATTGATCCCAAAAACCACTCTTACATAATCATCAACAAGCTGGGAGACCCTAAGGGTGAACCGGCGACGTCCTACCTAGACAAGCCCAAGTTGGGGCTCCTGATGGTGGTCCTGAGTCTCATCTTTATGAAGGGCAATTGTGTCAGGGAGGACCTGATCTTCAGTTTTCTGTACAGGTTAGGGCTGGATGTCCGAGAGACACATGGTCTCTTCGGAAATACAAAGAAGCTCATCACCGAAGTGTTTGTAAGGCAGAAGTACCTAGAGTACAGGCGCATCCCCTTCACTGAGCCAGCAGAATATGAGCTCCTCTGGGGCCCCCGAGCATTCCTCGAAACCAGCAAGATGCTCATCCTGAGATTTTTGGCCAAGCTCCATAAGAAAGATCCACAGTGCTGGCCCTTCCAGTACTTGGAAGCGCTGGCAGAGTGTGAGTCTGAGGACGTGGATGAGGATGAGCCTGAGCCTGAGCCTGATTCCGGCGATAACGCCGGTGACCCCACCAGCAGTACCCCTCCCCGCTAATGAGGTTTAGCAGATATCTCGTTCCTTTGTGTCCCCGGCCAGAGGCCTCTGATGGAGTGTGTGTGTGTGTTGTGGGAGGGGGGGAAATGTTTCGTTTCTGGTGTTTATGTTTCAATTCTATGTGTGTAAGTTTGGATTTTCAATTGGATTCTGTATCTGCCAAAGCTTTGTACATTTTCATGTGGTGTTGAGTTCAATTGGCTACTGTTCTATTTGGTATTTTGGCATCTGTATTTTTAAGTGAGATCTGTGATTCTCTGTTTTGTGTTATAATTGTTATGTTTTGGTATCAGAGTTGTGCTGGCTTTGTGAAACAAATTGAGAAGCTATCCATGTCATTCTGGTACAGTTCATGTAGCATTGAAATAGGCTGTTCTTTGAACGTTAAAATGACTCACCAGTAAAAGCTGTCTGCAGAGAAATAAATATCTATATCTATATATATAAATATACTTTCAGCATAACAAAAAAAAAGTGTTTGTCTTTATTCTAATTTTTACTCTAGGTGATGGGTGCCAAGATGTGCCATGCTCTCCAAATAGACCTGAGCGTTAAGACTACTATGCGTGATAGTAAAAATCAGGGTGACGAAACTGCTCTTTGGGGATAGTATCACACTCATAATGAAGCTGCAGTGATGGTGACGGGGGGGGGGTGGGGGTGGGGGTGGGGAGTGAAACGGAAGATTTTCCCATTAAGCCGAAAGCATAACTTCACAAGTCGGGGAGGCAGACTCAAGAAGGGGTGGTAAACCTTGTCTGATTTAATTTTCACAGTAATCTCTCCAAGTAAGGCACTATTATCCCCATTTTGTAGGTGGGTGCCTACGGCTCCAGGAGATGAATTCAACGGCACAGGTCCGTGCCAAGGCAATAAAGTTATAATTTAAAACAACCACTTTCCTTAAGGTTATGTGGTCTGTTAAGACCACAAGTATCCAGATTTACGAGTGCCGTGGGTGACTGGCCAAAGGGGCACTTGACCCGTGTCTCATCGTGTCCAGCAGCTCAGATTTGGTTTTCATCAACACACTGATCATGGGATAGAAACACGTTCCCTGCATAAGATACAGGCTCATAACAGGGCAAAGGAAACATGTGGCTTCAATGAATTTGGGATCCCTGGCAAAGGCGATACCTAGTAACATTCAGGTCTAGGAGAAGCTCCCGGGGTGGAGAGATGGAGGCCCCCATCCTAACATACAGGGGAAGCCACACGATGTCTTAGGTTGCTAAATAAGCCTAGTCAGCCCCTGGGTGCAGGGCCTGGTACGGGAAGGAAGGGGAGGGGGGAGTGGACAGACCGGAGTGCTTTCAGGAAAGATACTCATACACCCGTATCAGGAAGGTGTGTGCAAAAGGATCCTCCTGGAGTGACTCTTTTCTTCATGTAGACAGGGATCATCAGTGCTGCTGTCACCCTTACTGCCCTACAAGAATCAGAACCCCTCCAGCCCAAATTTAACCCCCCTTCTCTGGGTAAAAAACACCGTCTAGACATGAGGCCAATGGCAATAATGGGATGATGCTGCTACCTAGTGGCTGGTGGATGTCTGCCACATCTGCAGTTAACACAGAGCAGCTCCCACCGCAGTTTGGTTATGCCCTGATCCCCTGGGTTACTGCACTACTTACAGCACAACCTTCACCTGCATTTGTGCCCTGAGGTTCCTTCTTTTCTCTTATATCATAGACCAAAGCGAAACGTCTTCTCCAAATTCAATCCACTGACACTTAGAAAGCCGAGCTTCTATAGTAGAAGGTAAACTCCTAAGATGAAGGGGCCCCAGCACAGGCAGAGCCGAGCTCTCTGGAATGGCTGGCACCATCCAAGATGGTGGTTGGCTACAGGGGCTAGTCAGCAAGTTGTCCAAGTGGGCATCTCATCAGGAATTTGGGCAGAGTTTATTGTCTGATCCAAGCTCCTTGGATCAGAAAGTACTACACAGTTGCCCAAAATCAATCCTTAGTTGTTTTGACAACAACTGAACCAGATAGCCTGCTGCAGCTGAGAACTAGCCCCAAAGAGGCCTTACTAGGCATATGGGTCTGATATTTTACTTTTAGGTCATTTATTACTCTCACTATTATTTTTTCTGAATCACTTACTCATGTGGTGCTTGAGCAAGTTGCTCTTTGCAGAGTGAGTGCAATTTTCAAAGTAGCTTCATAAGCCTCTTGTGCTATACCTAAGGTGTGACTCCATTCCATGGTAGAAAGGCTTACTTCTTGCTTACAGTCCTCTGTCTCATTTATCTCATGTCTGATATAAAACAAATAATTCCAAGGGCTTTATTGGATTCAATTGAAGCGAGAGATAATTTACAACAATAATGAATTTTAACTACATAAAAGTAAACTAAGTTAGTTAGCCAATGGAAAACCTTAAGAAAACTGGTATGAAATCAGAGGACAGAAAAAATCCAGAAAAAATATGAAGGTAGAGGGTAAGAAGCATTGGGAACACATTCAAAGTCGTTTATTTGAAAAATGTTAAAATATAGATAAATATAGCACAAAACTTCTTCATTAGAAATGGCAATAATAAAACCCCTTGTAACTAAATGGGCAAATAGTATCAGGTGATAAAAAAGATGCTAATAACATAGCATAATAGCAGTTATAGCTTATACATATGTATATTATAGCACACACATCACTGAATAATTTTCAAACATTATTTCCCTTATGCCCAAGAGGACAGTAAATAAATTTACCATAAGTTATTTAACCAAAAAATACTATTAACAAATAAAGTTGAAAACGTCCACCTCACTAACATTTAAAGACAGAAACATTACACTGCAATTCTAGTGTATTTATTAAAATGGCATAGAATAAAATTCAACCCCACAGAACATCCAATGTAAATAAAATCATTATGAAATGGCACCTTGAAAAACTTCTGATGACAGTAGAAATTACTACAAATTGCCTGAAATAAACTCTGCCAACTGCATCTTCAAGATGCTTAAAATTTTTAATACTGTATTACCTAAAATTTTCTTATGTGAGAATGAAAAGACAAAGACTCCTGCATCAGGAAATCTGCTTCCTAAAGCGGAGGAGACCTAGTTGGATACATAAATCCCCCATAATCCCAACAGCGAGAACATTTCACAGTATTTCACTCAGTTTAAAGCATTTAGTATTTCCCAGCTTTTCTCGGCTACATGCCATCCTCGGTCACTTCACTTTGCTCATCCTGACGGGTTAACCAAAAAATGGCTTTAGTAGAAATGAAGGCAGGGGTCCCTCTGCTGGATGATTGGAGGAACTCCTCCAGTCTGTACTGAGAACCCAGACATGGTCACAAGGGTGGGTCCAAACGGGAAGCCCCTGCCACTAACACAAGACCCTCCTGCCTTCTCTTATCCCTGACCCAGGAAGTAATATGCACATGGGAAAGAAATGTTTAGGATCATAGGTTTTGCTTCTCTGGAGCCTATCTCTAGGAAAGAAAACCTAGAATGGATCTATTTCTTTAGAGTCCAAACGTTTTTCCTGAGTGTAAGCAATTTCTTCCAGATCTTTCAGAGGATTCCATTGTGGATCAAAAAAAAAAAAAAAAAGGGTTCTATATGTACTAGGCCGTTCCTCTAATTCTTATAGATTCTGAAAGTTCTATCTGCCCCTTTCTGTTTAAGAGATGGAAGCTGAGGGGAGCCTCCTTCAGTGTCAGCTTCCACCTGTTCTGTTTGGTGGCGCTGCAGAAGTCAGCTGCTAGCTTCAGTGAGGAGCACTTTTCAGGGCTAATGACTTGGCTTTGCTAACTGCCAATCAGTCTCCCAATGAGACTTCTCTGAGGTCCTTTGTTCAGAGTGGATTCAGCTTGAGACAATGTATGAGATACAAATGTACTCTCTGGGGCTGTGATTAGCCTTCACTCCATCAGCAGTGACTCACAGAGAAAAAGATTTTAATAAAATATAATTCCTCAATTTTTAATTTCACAAAGTATGCATTTTGTTGCATCTAAGCAGCCATAAACAAGGACACACAAATTGTGTTTTTTTACGGAAAAGTTTTACCATTTTGCATTTTATATTTAGTTTTGTGGTATATTTTGAGTTAACTTTTGTGGAAGGTCAGTGTAAAAGTTCACTTTTCGCATATGGAGTTCCATTTATTTCTTTTTGAAAGGATTATTCTTTCTCCATAGAATTGCTCTTGTACCTTTGTCAAAAATCAATTGATTATATTTGTGGTAGTATTTCTGAGTTCTCTGTTCTGTTCCATTGATCTGTCTGCTCTTTATGAATGTACAGACCTCACATATCTGATAAATGAATTGCATCCAGAATATGCAAAGATCTTTTTACAACTCAACAAGTAGAAAATAAATAGCACAAGGAGTCAGTATGCAAAATAACATCTCACAAAAGATTTTACAGGTCTTATGGATGGCTTCAGCAAGCCCTAGTTATGTGTGGTTTTTTTTTCATCATTCCCTTTATCTCACGAAAAACAGGGAAATGAGGTCTACATAACTGTCTGGCTGAAGCCCAAATGTAAGAGTAAGCATTTTTTCACCTGTGCACATCACTATTCTTCACTCTAAAATGTGCCCTCTCCCATTTCAGGAAGACCTTATTTCATTCCATTTCTGAAGCATTCTACAGCAAACCCTCTTAGGCTGTGAACCTGTTAATTGTGCATCATGTTGTTGGGGACTGTTTTCTGTTCCCAGTAAAGGACAACAAAGGATTTTTACATGTCAGATCTTCGGTGGGATTCATTAGGTCTGTTCAACTGCCCTGACTTCGTTCTGTCTATTGGCGCCAGCTGGTGGCCACTGGGTAAACCAACAGCTTATTGTATTTGCCGTTACTGGGAAGAATTTGAGTCACTGAAACGCACAGTAAGGATTCCAGGAAGCTGAAAATCAGTGCTTGCTGCAGTCTACCTGCAAGCGCTCCGAACATTTAAAAGAAATCAGGACGCCTATATTTTGTTGATGGATAATTTGCACTATGTATTTACATGAAATTATTAAATGAATGTGTGACCCATAGATTTCCCTAGACTTATTCACTAGACTCAGTGAAATACATCCATTTCCACTAAAAATTGTTTTGCCTGGAAGATTGTCACTATTTCCTAACTTTTCTCTCTGATTCCTCTCTTGAGCCTTATAAAGAGTAGCCCAGATTATTGTTTAAAAGCCTATGTCATAATAAGGCCATGTCTTTTCCCTGCTTCAAATTTCCCAATGATTTTCCATCACAACTAGAGTGAAATTTAAACTCTCCACCACTGCTTCTACAGCCCTGTATGGTCTAACCTCTGTCTACCTTTTCAACCTTCATTTCCTCTATCTTTCCTCCTCGTTCACTAGAAATGAATCATACTAGTTTCTGTCTGACTCTTAAATACATGCTCCCAGACTATGGTTTTTGTATGTGTTGTTCTCTCTGCTTGAATGAGTAGTTCCCAGATACATACATAGAAGTTTTCCCTCTAAAACTATGGGTGGCTGCAGATCAAATACCATGTCCAAGGAGACATACCTCTTCCCGGTTACTCAGAAAAATGAGCACTATCTGCATTGACCAAGAATCACCAAATCTCAGTGGCTTAGTTGTATATTGTTACATATATTTTCTGTTAAGTCATGCCATGACATGTGATCTCATATACCATATCACATTATTCTTGATTATTCAAAGTTCAGTATTAAAATAATTGAGAACCTCTGCTTTAAAGACTCAGGCAACTGAGCTCTTCTTTTGCTTCTCAGAATCCATCCCTGCTAGAGGAAGGAGAACAGCATGGAGGGTCATGGCAGAGGCTTTTACAGGGCGGATGTGATGGTTCTTATTTCTGCCTACACTCCATTAGCTGGAATTCAATCACATGGCCTCAATTAACTACAACTGTGAGCGGGTATATAAGTCAACTGTGAGTCCAGGGAAAATAAGACTTGATGAAGATACATGTTCTCTTCCAAATTAGTCTTTGTATTCATCAAGTATTCACTTTACTCTTCTTTTCACATGTTGAACACACTCTTGTGGTTAAAAGAGACAACCCAAAATTCATCTAGATAGTGAATCTGTTCTAAGTTCAGGATTTCTGAATGATATTGAAGTCCTGATGTGATTCTTCATGGTCAAGAACTGGAGTGCTAAAGTAAGTTATTTTCTCCCAACACCAAGTAGTCAACTGGAGAAAGGGAAAGAATAATCATAATGAAAACTCTGATTTATAAAGGCAAAGGAAGACATTCAATGGTTATTGGCTCACAGGAATTACAGAATCCCACTGACACTGATTATTTGTCTGTGAGGCAAATAAATGGTATTCCAGAAGAAGAGACATGGTATAGAACTCTAGGTCCTACCTTTTTGTGTAAGAGGTGTAAAATGGAGGGCCTGAAATGGGAAGTTTCATGACACTCACATGCTGAGCAGAGAAAAGACATGTGACTTGATTAAATTCTGGCATCTTATCTGGGTGTTTTACATTTGCTCCTCCTCCCCTTCTCTTATTAGCACAATAGGGTTAGAGCACGCATAAGAATGAGTTACTTACTTTGAAGAAACAGCCAAAACTCTGACTTCAAGGAGTGAAGCTTGAAGTCTGAAAAGAAAATGAATAGAAATATTTAGTTGCAAGTATGCAAAATTATAGAGAATTTTTTTCAGCTCTCGATGGAAGCTGTTCTAATAATCCAGGAAAGAGTAAAGTCTGGCTAACCTAAGAGAGGCCAGTGAGATGGAGAAAAGCGATAAGATTTTGAGATTTAAAAGAATAAGGACTTGTAGACCCTCTTGCACTCAAGCACAAGAGACACAGAGAGGTGCATAGGTGAGTAGGGCCCAGTGCCCAGGCTTGAGTGAACGGATGGACACTGACATCCTTAACTGGAAAAGGAAACACAGGAAGGTGGATACTGACATGGACAGAGCACTGTGTGTTCAGGTTCTGATATTCTATCATATCTGAGAAATAAAGTCACACGGATAGATACATTTATTTATCACTTCATTCTGTAAAGAACTGTGGGTGATCTAGAAGCCATTCATATACATGATCATGGGTTTAGTTCCAGGTGTGACTGGAGATAAGCATATGGGAGTCAACATACAGACAGTGGTTGAAACTCTGGATGGAACCGAGATGGTGAAGAATGAGTATACAATTTGAGAAGAGAGCCATGGATGAGAAGTTTCGAAAGCAACCATAGACTAGGCATGTTGTGGAAGACAGGACTATGACAACAACAAACGATCCAAAAGATTCACAGAGGCACTAGGAAAAGTTGATATTAAATGAAGAGAGGAGAGAATCAAGTGCTGTGAAGCTATAGATGATGATGGCCAATCATGCTTCAGGTTTAACATAATACAGTAGTAAAACTGGAATTCTGATGAGAATGGTTTAAGAATAAGAAAAATGTAAGTAGAAATGAGGTTCTGGAAATGAATTCTAAGTGGAAGGAATGTTACCAGGGAATAGCTGAAAGTAGATGGAGGACAAGGGTGTGTGTGTGTGCGTGTGCGTGTGCGTGTGTGTGTGTGTGTGTGTGAGTGAGTGAATGTGTGGTCTGGGAGCCCTAAAGAGTCCCTGAACCCTTTTCTCTAATCAATTTATCCTTTAGTTATAAATCATGTTTTACGAAGTTCTTGAAAGTTATTTATACATATATTTACATTCAAACCGGAGTCTAATCTCCAAAGCCTGTTTCAATAAGAGCCATCTGTTATGAGGATTATCCTTATTCACCTTCATTACGACCTCATCTTACACCCTGATTAGCTCTCACCTGGTTTTGTGTTCCAGCCTACTGATGGCAATGCAACCAACTTGAAACACCTATGATACTCAGCTGATGCCTTCCTGCTTGTAAAAATCCTCCACAGACCAGAATCACTGTTGTGGCTGAATTCACCCTTGGTAGCTATTTTGACTGCAAGACACAACTCAAACAAGTCCAGCAATTTCTGAATCCCAGAGGGTAAGTAGTGTTATCAGCCCGTTGGATAAAAAGAGTGGTGTTGGAGAATGAATTCTTGTTGGAATCATGAAAAGTGTATGGGGCAGTTTGGAGGAAGAGGTCATGAGGTCATGGTAGCACCAGGACAATGGTGTCACAGACACCAGAAGTCATGGACAGGGATTCTCACATAAGAACACAGAGCAGAAGGTCAACGGGAACATACAACTAGCTGTCTAGTTCTGAATGCACATGTTGGTTTGCCATAATGGAGAAAAGTGATTTAATGTGCTTCTGTAGTTGGCAGAGGAAGTACTCACAAGTCTGACAGGCCTCTTGGTTTAGGATGGGTCAGCAGGAAAACACCAGGAAAATTCTGCAAAATAATATGCCAATGGATCATCTGCTCATTCCCATAGGCAATATATTTAGTCCACTGTTCCCAGATAGCTCCCATTATGGCCTTCTGCTAAGTTCATTGTAATCTGGGAGAACATCCAGGTCTCCAAAGTGGTGACCTGTCCCTGGACTGTCCTCTGTGCTACAGGAGGAGTAGGCCTCTCGTGGACTGTGGGGCTCTCACCTGAGGTTGTGTCCTATCCAGTGATGTGTCCATGTCACTAGGGAGTGTAGTACACTGGCGCAGTGGCCACCCAGGAGCCCTCCCAGTGGTTATCCAGTAGGGGTGCTGGTCATGGGCTGGGGAAGGCTAGCCAGATAGAACCTGGAGACTTTCCTGAGGACTGAGCTCCTTATTTGATCATACTGCTAGTGGAAGAAATTATTCTGCTTTTCTGGGATTATTCATCTTCTGTGCATATTCATCAATGGGAAGGTCAGTGTCCCAAGGAACTCATCCAAAGTGCATAAAGCTTCTGGGAAAATTTAATGCAGCCTAAGTGAGATCATATGAATCCTATTTAGGCTTTCTGGGACCTTCCCATGAAGATTGTAGGCAAATCATAGTGACAGTGTCCCTGAACAGATGGGTTTTATGGTGGGCAATCACTGGATAGTTAGCTTATATCAATATTTGATGTACAGAAATCTAAGCATTATCTAGACATTGTTCCAGGGTGCTGATTGTAATAGTATCCAATCCTTTGCCTCCAGACTCAGGGCACACTGGATTGTATCCAATAGGGCTCTCAGATATTCCAATAAGGTTCTCAGATATTCCTTGTTTCCACCCTATGCTATAATTGTAGGCCAGCACTGAACTGTTCCAGCATTTAGTCTGTGCAATTAGACCCTGCAGATCTACTGAACTTTATGACCCAAATTCTACAAAGGGATAAGAATAGCCATAAACACGTGGAACACTGCCATTTGGTCAACTTGGGTCAGGTTCTTCTGTCAGCACCACTTGTATATTGGTTAATAGACGAGTGTGCTTGCTCTTAGGAAGAAAGCCCTCGGTTACCTCCTTTATCTTCAGACAACACCATGACTTGTAGATTTCTTGCCATGCTGGCATCTCTGAATGTGGCTCCAAGCTGAGAGTTTATTTCTGTTTCAGGTATCCAAACTTGTCACAAACTTGTCTGGGGCAGTGATTTCCATTTCCTGTAAGTAAGTAGGAGAATTAGCTTCATTAGTCAGTCTTTGTAGCCACTATATTTGAAGGAGTGATTTACATGGAGATGGCTTCTTTACAGAGGCTTTAACATTGCCAGGAATTCCAAAGGAATGATCCTACATTAACTTGATGGGGGGACTTGACTTTGGGGGGAACTCAACGATGAGGGGATCATTATTGTACTATTATACATTATTGTACTATTGATCATGTCACCAGAGTATAGTGGATGGTGAGGTAAAGGGGAATCACAGAGGGAGGAGGAAATGGAATCAGAGGACAACATAAAAAGAATTTTGTGTGTAAATGTTTGAGAATTGCCAGAGATAACAAAATGTGGAATGTGGAGCTAGGTAGGACTAAATAAAAGGTTTGCTGACCTCCAGTTGGGCTACAAAGGCACAGTAGGACTTCATCTCAGTGGAAAGTAGAGGCTTGCATGGGATTGCATGTACAAAGTGAAAAATTAGTAAGAGACAAGGGATGTGTTGCTTCTAGAACATAAACAGTTCTATATTGTGTTATACCATGCCTGACTATGATGGGTGGTTTAATGGTAAGTAACTGATGTATGGCAGATGGGGAAATTTCTTAGCTCTTAAAGGACTAAATGGTACCCAGAAATTCAACACATGAGGCTTGCCCTTTCACTCCCCAAGGAACTCTGATCCAAAGTTGAAGGATGATGGCTCAACCACATTGCAGATGGTAGTCTGTGACAGTGTGCAAATCTGCCCTTACTGCTTCCTCAGAGGGGTACCTCTGTACAATGTCATCAATATAATGCCCAAAATGGCATTTTTTTCCTATTTAAGTTACTTAAATCTTGTAGCAGAGGCTGTGTGCACTTGCAGGGTGCTTAAATATCTCATTGGGAGTTGCATATCTCATTGGGAGCCCTTCAAAAGTGAAAACAAATCAGGCCTAGGATTCATCCATGATAGCATTACAACAGAATATCTTGTCTGGGGTAATGACAATGATACTCTAGGTTGCTGTGAGTTCTTAGTCAATTCTATAATATTAGAAGTTGGAACTTTAATTGGGGAGACCTGAGCATCAAGGTTTCTATATTCAATGGTGAGGTGCCATTAATTAGTGGTTATCTTAAATTCCATCTAAACAGGGCTACTGAAAGGGGACAATGTGGGCTTAATGACTTCCATTTCAAGTATATCATGATCAACAGGGTGTAGGTCTTCAGTCCCTGTTTAAATGGGTATGGTTGGGGGTTTACCATCTTGATGGAAGAAAGTACCACTGGAATCCATTTGGCAGGTCCCACCAGGAAGGCCAAGAGGTTGGGTTTGAGCAAGTGATGTGGTATCATGCTAGTACGTCCATGCCTAAAAGGGGAAAGAAAAAGCCAGCAGGGCCACCACCCGAGGAATCCATTCGAGGTAAATGGTCTCAATTGTTACATCCAAATGGTTTATCACCTTTGACTTTTATCGACAATGACCTATAGGTGAAAGGGCTCTCTTTTGGGGGTTTAGATGATTTGCCTGTTACAGTGACTTGGATTCTGATGTCTAATAAGGTCAAAACGGACTGTGGTTTAGGTGGAAAACAGTTTCTCCTTATTTTTATTAAAATTAATGAAAAGTATCTAGACTTTAACACTACATCAATTTGATGAGATACTTGACAGATAGATCTGTGCAGTGATGTGCTGCTAATCCTGCTCTCTGAATAAAAAACACTAATTTGTACTGTTTTTGGTGCAAATACTCTTACTATGTCCAAATTTAAGTCAGTATCTTATTGAATGTGGAGTTGGGAAGAAAAGTGCACTTGTCTCTTGTGAGTCATCAGAATCAATTCCAGCATATGATTGATTCCAGAACTATGCAACGAACACCCACACAAGGTAGGAACATTTCCATCATCCAAGCATATTCTGTCATGCCCCCTTCTGCCAATATATCCCCACTGTTACCAAGATTCTGACTACTATCTCATCACAATAAATTAGGTTTACCTTTTCTTTAACATTTTATGAGTGTATTCATACACTGTTCATTTGTCTATTTTTCCAAAAGTATTATTTTGTCATGTCTTGACTTGTTTACTTAAGTGTCACAAATAACACAGATTTTTATTTTTTTTTAGAAAATGTAAAGTAATTTGATAAGATTTGCAATAAACAGTTCCAATATTCATGTTCTTAATTGAAATTAATTGTATAGAAATTCCTGTCTCTTTAAAATTTGGGGCAATTGGGCTAATATGCCTCTTGCCTAAGTCATTATTGATGCAGGGGCAATAAGTTCATAAAGTTCACCTAAAAAAATATTGGTGGAGGGCCTCCCTGGTGGCGCAAGGAGTTAAGCACCACACTATGAAGCAATCTGCAGCCTCTGCAGCACGAGTTTGATCCCCAGCTGGCCAGGGAGCAACCCACATGGTGCAGCAGACCTCTCCTATCTCGCCCACTGCTCCCCTCAGCAGTGTACTTTGGTCAATCTGCCTGTTCTGTTCCCCACTCTGTCTGGTGAATCCTCTCACCCCCCCCACATCTCTGGCCTGTACCCCAGCTCTTGTATGCATAAATAAATGTTTAAAAAATATTGGTGGAGCATAGATCCTTCAGTATTGGCATCATGCTTATAAGAGGACCCAAAATCATTCAATAATCCTTCCGTTATACTTGATCTAGATTTTACTATTTCTCTTCATGTCAATTTCACATCAACAACCCTGTGAATGAAATATTTCTATTTTCTCAGATGAGTACACTGAGCTCTAAGACACTTTAAGTAAACTTGCCCATTAGTACAACAAAGAGATGGTGTTACCTTCCAATTTTCCATGTCTCTAACCCTAAAATGACTTCACCATTTCCAAGCACAGTCTAGTGTTACTTCTGCTTTTTCTTGTACCAATGTGGATAAATGGCACGTGCACGCGCACACACACACACACACACACAGTATGTCAGCAGCAGAAAATGATACTTCCAGTTGTGAGGATTAAAACTTAGGAGCAAATCTACACACTGTCTAGAGCCAGCTCAAGTTCCTCTTCTTTCGGAGATCTGTCCCAATTGCCCTAGTCTGCTACACTGCCCTTATTTTTGAGCAGCTGCTTTTATTATTAGAGTCTCAAAGAATGAAACATCTGGCCTTATATTAGTCGTTTGGCTAATCAAAGTCCTAAAAGAAAGCTCTATTAAGAATATGAGTGTCTCCATAGTAGGGTCATGGTTAAGGTCTCATTCTATACCCAGCACCATGGAGAGCGGCACAAATGGAATGTTCAAGACCTTCTGGCTCTTTCAATGGGTCAAGCATCTGGGATATTTCTAAACTACAGGGAGCTTGATTGACCAAGGGCCTCAAATGCTATGCTCTAAATCCCTTCCTACATTAATATTAAGGCATCCTTCCCATGGGCTACTTTCAGCTAATGACTGATTGTCAACAAGCCTACCTCTGAGATAAGCAATTCCAGTGCTGGAAGCTTAAGTACTAACTGTCAGTTTTGCTGAGACCCTGCTAGACTAAATGGAAGTCCAGGATGCTTCCTTCTACCTTGTTTCTCTCCACTGCTTGGAGTCAGACTTGGTCTGATATATCACCTGCCTTTCTGGACCTCTCTCTTTTCTCTAATGAAAATTTTCTGAAATAAAATTCTTGCACATTTATACTTCTCTTGGTCCCTGAGACCCAAATTATCAGCCTTCATCCCTTGTTAACTATATTAGAGATGATGTTGGAAGAAGTAAGAAATACCAGTTAAGAAGCCATTATCCCAGGAAACAAAGAAGCAATGCTGGTGTGCAAATCAAAGGAGCTAGGCTCCAGTAGTGGAACAACTGGTCCCTTGTTCAGTGTCAGATTAAGGATATTTAAGATTGAGAGGATCCCCCAGTCTTTATTCATGGCTGGTCCATCTACAATGTAAGAATATGTACTTTTCTCCAAGCAGCTTTTTGTAGGAAACACTACCCTCCCCCCCCCAACTCCTAGATAAAAAGGGTAGGCAGAAAGGGAGGGTGCAATCAAATCAAGCGTTTCAGAATCAAACAAACCAGATTTAAATCCTGGCTCCACAACTTTCTGGATGTAGGCCTGACTGTGAGCAAATTACCTGACTTTTCCCTGCCTCATTATCTGATCTGTGAAGAATAATAGGAATACTAGAAGAATAATACAACACTACTCTGAGTGCCATTATGAGAATTAGATCATCCCTATGGACTCCAAAGCACATGGCTTAGTACATGGTAAAAACTTAGTGACATCTATTTTTATCAGAGAGGAAGGTCATGCAAAGGCTTTCTGGGGTAGAGCTTCAGCAGGTCATCTTTTTTTTTCTTATCTGCCATTCATACCATGGGAAGAAATTTTTTGTCCATTTCATGAGTGTAGGAGTCTAAATATGCCAATTAAGTCAATAGTGTCTGCTGCATTATTAAAATCAAGCCTACCCTTATTTTTTATAAAATAACTGTATGAGGTGTGATTAAAATATCTACAGTTATGGTTTCTTGGATTTCCCTTACTAGTTCTATTGTTTTGTCTTTGTATTTTCTGAGACTGCATAATTACATGAATACAGATTTAAAATGCTTTCAACTTCCTGACACATTGAAATTTCCCCACATTTTCTAATATCACCTTTGCCTTAAGAATAGATGCCTGATACAAATAAATCTAAAATTAATTAGCTATACTTAATTTCCAATTATTTTCTTTTGCTTGCTTGTTAAATGCCCACTTTCTAATCATTTTATTCTTCCTCCACTCCTTTTAGTTATTATTTCAAATTATTTTAAAAACAACCACCTTGTTTAGAGGGACTCAGGAGAATACAAAACATTGATTATAAAGATCTGTGCATCAGAGCCACAGACTGAAAGATTACATGCCAAAAGCAGGCATTACTGAATCTTATCAGTGAACCTACATCTATAGCTTTGGGCACATTGAGAGTGAACTGTGTTGCCATAGTGATTAGAAGGAGCTCTGTTGCCATACCAATGACATGTGGAGAGCTTTTCCTCCGTCCTTACGATGACAATGTGCTGTATTAGGCTGAAACCACTTAATTTGAATTACTGGAGTCTAATCAATCACATCTACATCTCTCCTTGATACAACTCACACTCATGAACAAATCAAATGTATTAAGCACTGACATTGTTTTCAGCTCTGCATTTATTATATTTTACATATATATCTATACATATTATCCTGTATATTTACTTACATATAATATATAAACACATGTGTATATGTGTATATATATCTATACATTCACATATATATTTTACACAAATTCTTTCACCTATAAATGATTTGCCAGCTGACTTGCATGCACATGTAAGACAACAAATATATATATATATATACAAAATACTATATGTAACTATTACTGCTTTTATATACAAGTGATATAATTCTATACACTTCCCATTTAATTCCTACTTATCACTATGTCTCCAGCTCAGCCCACACAGATTACCCCATGCTTTTTTGTGTTTTGTGTATACTTTTTAAAAGGAATAGACAATACTGAACCAAAACTAACCCTAGAAATCTGACTGTAGAATTGAGGCTGCCAGAATGGGGGTGGATACAAAAAGCGGGAGGAGGCCTAATGGATTATGTTGGAGAACTATGGGTGCACTGGTGATGGGTATAGTACATTCATCTGAAGAGGTGTGAATCTATAGCTCTAAATTATATACAGCATTATGAATCAATTAAAATAATACAAGTTTAGATGACTTTATAATACCTCTCTGTACATCTATGCCATTTTTTAAATCAGTCACTTACTGTTGGATTTTCTAGTTATTTCCAGTCTTTTACTGCTGTAACAAAGGTTGCAATTTACAGTTCTGTACTTGAATAATTCCATTTGTGTAGAATATGCCTATAAGTCACATTTACATAAATAATGGTTGGTCAAGGAATATACATCTGTGAGTTTATGATTTAATTGGCACTATCAAATTTTCCTCTATGGAGAATGTACCAATTACACTCTTACAAGCAATATATAAAAGTGCCTTATTTTCTAAGGAAGAGGTAGAAACCTGTACTTCTAAAATACAGTGTTGTAAACGAACTTTAGCTAAAAAAATACTACCATTACTCACCTTGTGATGGTGAGAAGGGTTAAATGAGGTAATGAATCTGAGGACACAACCCGGCACATAATAAACTTGATACAGTTGACAGTTAATCTCAAGTCACAGAAAGACATTTGACTACAGACTTCAAAAGAAAAACATACCAGCCAATATTGTTTCTGTACATTTTGGCTTCATAATTACATTTGAAATTTATACTTGTATAAAACATAAAAATGGACCCATGCACTAGTTTTCAAGATGGCTCTGAGTTTGCCAACTTTTACTGAACAAACTTGTTATTTTTGTTACACTCTTTATCATAAATTCAACTTCTATTTGTATCTGTGGTCTTTTTAAACACATATTTTTGATCAGTTCAAGTGCTAGTACCTCACTCTTCCTACTGCTGATGTGGTACTTACTATGTATCAGGATCTGGTAGGGGTCAGTGAATAGTTATTTTTTCAATTCTAAAATGTTCAGGTTCTACTGGCATTTTTTTCCCTTCATATGAACTTGCACAGTTTCATTTACTTACTTCAGGGTTTATTTATACTTGTTTTAGTCTGCTCAGGCTGCATAACAGTACAGGGTGGCTTAAACAACAGTTATAGCTCACAGTTCTGGAGGCTGGAAGTCCATGATCGGGATGCCAGCATGGTGGTGGATTTGCTGAATGTTCTCCTCCTGGTTTGCAGATGGGCACCTTCTAGCTGTGTTCTCATATTGCGGAGAAAAATACTTTCTCTTGTGTCTCTTCTTATAAAGGCACTAATCTCAATGACAGCGCCACCTTCGTGACCAAATTCCTAACAAAGCCCCACCTCCTCATACCATCACATTTGGGACTAGGGTTTCAACATATGAATTTTGGAGGGTATATTTAGCAGACAGCATTCTACTGCTGGCCCCCAAAATTCTCACATGCAGAATATATTAATTCTATCCAAAAGCCCCCAAAATCTTAACTCATTCCATCAACTTGATTGTCTAAAGTCCAAAGTCTCATCTGAATATCATCTAAATCAGAAATGAATAAAAATCAAGGTATTATTCATTCTTAGGCAAAATTACTCTCCATTTGTGGACCTATAAAAACAATTAATTTATGTGTGCCAAAAATACAATAGTGCAACAGGCATAGGAGAGACATTCCCATTCCAAAGGGTAGAAATAAAAAAGGGTGACAGGTCCCAAGCACATCACAGTAGTACTTTAATAGAACTTTGTCAAGTACCTAAATGTTGAGATTCCCTACCAAATTCTGTTTCTTCAAAGCACTTGAATTGTAAATGTTTCTTTTTATTAGCTTTTTTTCAGATTTAAATTCATTCCAATGCATTTTAAATTATCTCCATAAAACAGGTCTTTTAATTTTCCACATGCTTCAAATACTTTTACTTTGATATTTACTAGTATTTTTTACATTTATACATCACTATTCTTAAATTTAAATCATCTGCATATGTGACTACCTTGGTAATATTTCAGTACATACATGTTAGACAGTGGAACATTACTCAGCCATAAAAAAGGAAATCATGCCACTGTGACAACACAGATAGACTTTGAAGGCATTATGCTAAGCGAACAAAGTTAGAGAAAGACAAATACTTTATAGTTGTATGATCTCATTTGTATGTGGAATTAAAAAAATTAACTAATGGTAATAGAGAACAGCTTTGAGATGTCCACTGGGAAGTAGGAGAAATGAGTCAAGGTGGTCAAAAGGCATAAACTCCCTGTTAGAAGATAAATTCTGGGGATGTCATGGACAGCAAGATCACTGTAGTTAGCAATATATATTGAAAGGTATTGAGAATAAATTTTAAAAGTTCTCACCTTCCAAAAATTTACAACTGCAATAATTCATGTTGTCAATGTTAAATGGTAGGTTGTATTTTAATGTATTTTGTAGCCAATATTTGACTAATTCTATATACCCGCAATATATCCACTTCTTTCAGGCTTTCTATATGATTCAGTAGTCTCTATTTGTAAATCCTCCTACTGAGGGTGGGTGTGTATATACACTTTTCCCTCTCTCATTTCCTCAGTTAGATAATAGTTTATTTACCTATCTTATGAACTGTTTTCAGAAAATACAGTAAGTTTTTATATTGAACATTTTAATTAGCTCTACTATTTAATTTCAGCTTTTATCTCACTTTCTTTAGTTACATTTTTGTGTGCATTTAAAAAATTAAGGACCCATAAACTATATATGCATATATACATGTATACCCTGTAAATAAGTATTATTATCATTGTGATCATGAATTTAGTTTTCTTCTTTCAAATATATGAAGAGGTTTACATGATTACTTAATCTATTAAGATAAAGTAATTTCTTCTATTGTGCCATCTTTTTCCAGGAATATAACCTACTCCTGCTGAGGTCTTATTCTTCTGTATTATTTGTTTGTTAACATTCATTTTAGTGGGGCTCCCTGGTGGCCTAGGGGTTAAGTCTCAGCCCTATCACCACTACAGCCTGAGTTCCACCCCCGGCCAGGGAGCTGACCCACATATGGTGCAGTAGACCTCTCCTGTCACACCCGCTGCTCCCCTCAGCAGCATATTTCAGTAGATACACCTGTTCTGCTCTCCATTCTTTGGTGAATCCTCTCACCCCCGCACCTCTGGCCTACACCAAAGTTCTTTTATGCAATAAATAAATATTAAAAAAAACATTTATTTTAAATTTTTGGCATCAATCTCCAAAGTGAGATTGATCTCTAGTCATCCTTAATTGTTCATGCATTGGTAAAATTTTGATATAAATGTTACGTGTCATTTGCAAATTATATATCTGTCCCTTCTGCTGTTCTCTGGAAAGGCTTAAAAAATGTATTTAAAGATTTTAGTAAATTTCTGGAGCAAATGCCTCTGTTATGCTGTTTTCTTTTTTGATGGGCAGGTGAGAAAGTACTTTTCTGGAAATTTTATATGTTTCATTAGTAATTGATCTGATTTACTTTGTATACTGCATTAATGTTTGAAAAATTATACTTATGTTGAAGATTTTTATTTTCTTTTATATTTTCAAGTGCATTTGCTTCAGTATAACAAGGATTCACCTCCCATTTCTTTAATGCCTTGTCTTTGATTACTTTTTATTTATTGTTTCTTATTTTAATTGTATTTTCTCCCTTATTTTTGATTAAGTTAGTTAATGGTTTATCTGTCGAGTTTTTTCAAAGCAGCAGCCTTTATATTTCTATTTTCTGATCTGCTAAGTTTTGCTTTAATCCTGAATTCATTCTGTCAACCTATTATATTTTTATCAAAATTTACAGACTTGGATACCTTTAATTATGTAATGTGTATATTACAGTGTATGTTACTTAAAATTAGGAGTTTTACCCTGAGCACAAATTCATTACTATCCTCTCGATTAGGGTATGTATAATTTTTGTTATTCTAGCCTGCTAAATGATTTTGAATTCACAAATTCCTTTTAAATATCAAGAGATATTTAAAAGAGTTTTCATGTGGTAATGACTTTCTTGTATTCACATCAGAGAATAGTCCCTGTGCTATTAATATCTCAATTTAATTGAGTTTCATTATGATCTAATACAGTCCATTATTTTGGTTACTGTTTCATCAACACCAGAAATTGTGATATACAAAAAAAATTCAAAAAATGCTGTGTCTTCATTGAAAAAATTAATCTTTCTATTTGTGCTAACGGTACTAGTGCTGTATTATTTTCGAAAGAACCCTTTTTTCTATCTCTACTCCAACTCCATTCAGCATAGGGGCTGTAGTTTAGCATCTGCTGTGAAAACAGAAATCACACCCTTGAGATATTTACAAAAGTGTGAACCAGAAAACATATAGGCATTTTGTGGGCTATAGGAACAGGTTTGGTAACATACAAATAGAACAGAGTTTCCATTTCTTTAGGGGAAGGAGTACTGTTCAACTTTTAGCATATCAGCAAGTTTGTATACATCCACCAACTTTAGACACATGGAGCACAGGCATGTAGACTTGCCTCACTTAGGCATTTTTCTAAGGTTAGAATGATATGTGTGGACCCTGGGGCTGAGTCCATGAATCTTGATGGAGGAGAGGGCCAGGTCACACTCCCAGTCACTTAGAGAGCAAATCTCTGTGTGGTGAGGACAGGCAGGGGTGGCCCAACTGCCTTCAATAACAGATCCTTTGGAAAACTATTCAGTGAGGTGGACAGGGAAGAGTTAGTTGACCTCTTTCTTGATGAACTGATGAGGGAACAGGGAATCCTAATTAAAAAGAAATCATCTTATCCCTCATTTTGGCATCTGTCACAAGTAAAGAAAAATCATAAGTTTTCTTGTTTACTATATTTTCAGGAATTCAATAGTATATTTTTAGTTTTAGTGAATGATTTTGTGGGAAAAAACACTTGGCCATTTGGAAATTATGAACAGAAAGGTAATATGCCCTATGAAAATAATCACAAAACAATAATGTCATCTTCACAACCCCAAGATTCCCAAAGAGAAAAATTTGGTAGAATTTTACTCTTGTACAAGTTTGTCTCGTGTCCACAAATGTACAAATCTGACCTTTGTACATGCCACCTTAAAAATACTACCTATGTTTCAAGTTCATTGTCCTGATTGTATTTGATCCTCACAACAATCCTATGTGCTATTGTACCCATTTCTCATATGAAGAAACTGAGGGACAGAAAATTTAAGTAACTTGCTCCAGAGTCTATGCCTGGTAAGAAGCAGAATCATGATTCTAATTATTCTTTGTTCCACAAACCGTTTGTCTTCTACCAAACCTTGTCCCACTATCACTTCTGATTATGTAGGATTTTGTTGTTGTCTGGATCAATAAAAGACGTAATATCTCACAAAGCTGGAAAATGTAAACTAGGAGAGTTTTCAAAGCTTTTCAGGCATGGCTTGGAAACCCCTCCTGCACAGGTGATCCATACCTCAGAGCTTGATTTTGTCTCTGCAGTCAACAAAGTCTTTGAGAGTGCCACAATTTGTCTTGTTCTCTGGTTAGGTCATTTAAGTCCACTTTCCCCTGCATGTCCAAAGTGGCCTCAAGGAAGGTGACATGTTTGCATTTCACTTGTAATCACTCACCCTGCCAGAAATAGGCAGAGATCCAGGATCTGCTGAATGGTGAGTTTTTTGGATAAGAGGAATCAAGAAGAAAGGAATAGGGCCTCCCCTGGTGGTGCAGGCAGTTAAGCGTAGCGCTGTGAGGCTTTCTGCAGCCTCTGCAGCACCGGTTCGATCCCGGCCGGCTAGGGTCCCACATGTTGCGGCAGACCTCTCCTGTCAGCAGTGTATTTCGGCAGTCTGCCTGTTCTGTTCCCTACTCTGTCTCTGGTGAATTCTCTTACCCTCCCGCGAATCTGGCCTGTACCCCAGTTCTTGTATAAATAAATAAATCTTCAAAAAATTAAAAAAAAATAAGAAAGGAATATGGCAAAAAAACCAATGGAAAAGTCTGGTGTGCTTACCCAGACAATGGGAATCACCTATGTAGGGAACAGCAGTATAAAAATATGGGGATCTGAGGGACATTTTAAGCAGTAGACTAAAATATAATTCATCCAGCAGCCCACAGATAAGAAGCTGCCATTCCCACATACTGTAGGAGCTTATTTATACCCATCTCTGCACTTCCTGGCTGGAACATCCATACTAAATGATTGTACATGTGTCCAGTAGCTATATCCAATTGGTCTACCTCACCCTTGTCATATATGTAAACTAGGGCAGCAAATAAGTGCAAGCTCTCTGAAAATAGACTACCTGAGTTCCATTTGCTATTCCACTAATTTGTAACTATGGCTTATGTTTATAATGTGCAAGTAAGTGAATCTCTCTACCTTATAGGCCTCATCAGGATGATGAGAAAATTACAGCAAATACAGTAGTCTCCCCTTTTCTGTGGGATATGTTCTAGGACCTCCAGTGGATGCCCTGGATAGCACTGGACTAAATACTATGCATTCTGCTATACATACCTATAGTAAAGTTTAATTTATAAATTAAGCCCAGTGAGAGATCGACAACAGTAACTAATAATAAAATAGAACAATGTAAGAGCATATGGTATTAAAAGTAGTGCAAATGTGCTTTCTCCCTCTCTCTCAAAGTATCTTACTGTATTAAATACTTTTGGATCGTGGTTGACCCCAATGGTAATTGAAATTGCAAAAGAGAAACCAGAGACTCATATAGTGGGTTCTGGGAGTTATATTAGCACTTTGAAGAGAGCTCAGTATATGATGTGAGCTAAGTAAATGGGCCCTGTCTTTGCTGTACAGTCAGGGTGGTCTTGGGACTTACCACCCCGTATTTTTTCAGCTATTTTAGCCAAAGAGGGCTTTTGCAGTAGATGCACACAGCATGGGACACAGGCGAATTAAGTAAATGTTAAAATTGTGCTATTCAACTCTCACATGCTTTTTTTTTTCTTTTACTTCTTCAGTTACTGAAAAGATATAATTAAAATTGTCCACTGAGATTTTGATTTTTCTATTTTTATCAGTTATTTATTTGCATAGGTGTTACATTACTAAATTAGTACAAAATTGAAGAATTTGCCTTTCTGGTATGTTACAATTTGATGTTTATATATCATCCTTAATTCCTCTTCAGCAAGAAAGTCATAGCACATCAGTTTAAATTTTCCATCCAATTACTTTTAATGTTTATGTATTCTAACAAAATAGGTGAGTATTTAAACAACATATAGCATAAGTTTAATTTTAATCAAGTCTTTTTAAAACTATTTTCATTTACCCTATGGTATACTTGTGTTATGAACTTCCTGTAATACTAGTGATTTTAGGTTTTATTCCTTTTTGTATTCCATTTATCTTTCTATTCTTGTATTCTGATTGGTTTCAACATTTTTATTATTCTATTTTCCTTTTTATATTCCTGCTACTTGCTACAGACTTTTGCCTAAAGCCTCTTGTTTGGAATTAACACAAAATATTGAATACAAAGAACTCTGTATCTGGGTTCATCATTGTGCGTTACAAGGAGCAACGAGATGGTGTGAAACTGCAGGGAAATACACATTTCTGTATTTATAATAGTGAAGTAAGCCATGGATGACATCAATGGAGTTACCAACATCGAATTTTGGAAGTTCTTTAAGATCTGCGCCTGCCACCTTTGTCCAAAGTCACTTGAATCATTATTTTCATTAGATGTTAATTACTGAAGTCTATTAAAGAACAGAAAGACACATACACAACAGCAAATCCTATTAGTCTTTAACCTTCAGCTTCCAAGTCTGTATTTATTTTATCACATAACAAATATTATGGTGTTTATCTTTCTCTCTTCAAATGCATAACTATTATACACATGCATACGTATATATCTATATATCTATAATCCTTCAATATATATTTCCAATATAAATACTTTCACATCAAGGTAAACAGGATAAAAACATGTAAACATACACACCTGGTTCTGGTCAAGTAAAACAGAAACCACAAGGTAACAAGTTAAAAAGTGCACTTGCAAAGGGCATGAGGGGAAGAACAGACATGTAAACAACAGAGATGAGCAGCTGTGCCACAAAAGCCCCCCAGAGGGTCCATTTCTTAAGGCTGTAGTAGCAAAAAACTCCTTGTTCAGTAAGACTTCTCCCTTCACCCTGTCACATTTATTCTTGAGGGACTTCAAAATGAGTGGAAATTCTGTAAACATTAGACTAGAACTGAATCAATCCTGTTGAAAACAGAGACGACAAAATAAACCATAAACTGACAGCAATATTCATTTCACCAAACAATAACTTTAAGGACTTTTTGTGAACACAGTGAAACACCATGATCCTAGGAGGAAAGAAATGGGCACGGGCAAGAAAACAGAGATGGAATGGTTCCAACAGCCCCTGTAAGTGATGGATGTGTCTATGAAGAGAAAACAGGCGCTAGCAGATGACACAGCCTCAGCACACAGCACACCAGACCACATGCCACAGCAATGCTACAGACCAAATGGAAAGATTCCTCCCGCTCATTATGAAGCAAGTCCTATTGATTCTGAGAAGCAGAGCTCATTACCTCCCAGTGAAAGAAAACAGTGGAACAACAGACTGGCCAGCAGAAGCATGACAAGCTCTTTTTTACTGCTCTTAAAGGGCATGTTGCCCTCTCCCACCTGCACAGGCTCCAAACGTTGGCTGCTTTGAGTGTTGGCTGCCCCAGCACTCTGCCTCTGAGGCTCCTCAGGAGCATGAGGAGGCTCCTGGCCCTCAGGCTCTGCATGAGGCTCCTCTCCCTGGCCCTCAGGCTCTGCATGCTTGTAAAAACACTTCTCTCCAAATGGGCAGCAACGCCTGCCTACAGAAAAATACCTGCAGGTCTTGTTTCTCATAGCCTCCTTGTACTGCTGAATAAGTTTCTGCTTTTCATCCTCCTCCTCCACCCAGAACTCACTGGGAATGACAAAATTGGAGGTGACCCTGCACTGAGGGCAGGACTTGATGATCCTGTTCTCAAACTGTTTGGCAGTCCTCCACCTGCGGATACACTTAAGACAGAAGGTGTGGTTGCAGTTGGAGAGGATGCCAAAGCGGCAGTCAGCGGATTTAGCCCTCTCAAAGATAACCTCCATGCAGATGCCACACACTTTGTCGATACTACGCTGCACAGCAAAAGAGAGTTCCATATCCTTCTCGTGTACTTCAATGCAGGCCTTTATATGCTCTGCCCTTTGGACAGCATTCACGGGGTGCAAGACCTGAAGCCCGCACATATCGCATATCTCTCCGTGGAGATACACACAGCTCTCCCCACGAAAGCATTGCCCCATGGCAGCATCGCGGCAAAGCTGCTCCCCCATGCCCACAGCAACCTGCTCCCGCTCAGTCAACCAGCTCTGGACAGGAGCTTCGGGAATATAAGGGGCCTTGCGGCCCCGGTAGGGTTGCCCGGGAACAAACTCAATGGCACCCTCCCAGCCTTCTGCACCTGCTCCTCCAGCAGCCTCAAGGCCGGCATTGTCTGTCTCGGCTTCAAAGAAACCCCTTTCAGCAGCCGAGCCAATCAGAGGCAAGGAGCATGAGGACGCAGCAGGGGGGGCTTCCGCCGCTTGCTGAGGCAGGGGCTCGTTGTGCGCAGCCGTGCTGGGGCCTCTGTCGGGAGAGGCCCGAGGCGGCGAGCCGCGGCCCTCCCTGGCCAGCTGCCGGCCCGAGAGGTCGTGGGAGTAGCGACAGTTCTCCCCCTCCTTGCACAGCCCATGCATATAATACCTGCAGACGATTTGCTTCGTCCAGCTGCCACAGCTTCGGCCAGGCAGGAGACTGGGCCTGGCCCCGCCCCCTGAGGCCTGGGCAGGCCTCACACGTGACGGGCGGAAGGGGGTTGGGCCCGGAACCCCCGACCCTCTGGGGACCCTGCGCACTGGGACGCTGGGCCAGGCTGTCTCCGCCCCCGCGGCCTCAGCGCCCGCAGTTGCCCCAGCTGCCTCGTGGGGTTCTGTGGGAGCTGCAGGCTCTTCCATGGCAGCTTCTTCTCCCCGAAATAGTACCGGAACTTCTCCGTTGTCTTTTCCTTTCGGGCTCGAGGCCCGGCGGGCAGGAGCCGGTGCAGCGTGCTCCTCCCTGAGAAGTGTGCATCTCTTTTCCTTCCCCCCGCTCCCTGCTTCCGGTGCCCTTTGTTCCTACTTGCTTCTCTGCGCAGGCGCGGCGGACACTTCCTGTAGTGCGATGCTAGTCCTCTACCAGGTCCGTGGAGTGGGAACTGGCTCTTTGGGCGGGAACTGTGACTCGAGCTGCCTTTGTTCGCATCAGTCGGGACCGCCAGTCTTCGCTCGGTCTTCGCTTCTCCGCACGCCGGCTGATCACAATGCTTGCCGTATGCCATCTCCTCTGGAGCATGTAATCACAACCCTTTGAGGTTTTAATTTAATCTCTTCTAGCGCTCCTTCATACAATTTTATTTGATTGCTTTTTCTTATCTATTTTAAAAATTATAGTCCATGTGTTTAAAAACTCATCTTGGGGTTTATAAAACATTTCCTACCTGTGTTTTATAAATTCTGGTTTTGTTCAGTATGTCTTTATAGGTTATTATTATTTTGGTTGAATGATTGCCACTGCTGGAAGCTTTGACGTCTTGTTTTGTGGACACTTAATTTCTAGTTTTTATTTTCTGAAAACTATTATCAGCTTCTGTTAGAATTTTTTTTTTTCAAGGAGTGTTTCTGATTTGAGGTTTTTTTAACGCCTGATGGAAGTCTACCTCCCGCTTCTACTGTTCAAATACCACAGACTTCGTTTGGTCCTGAAGCAGCTCAATAGGACACTGTGCCCTGTGTGACCCTGGTTTTAATCTTCTGTTGTTGATTTAACTCACAGTGGTCCTTGTTTCCCCTTTCTTTCTTTCTTTCTTTCCCAGGATTGTGCTGTATTGTGACTACTAGCACCGCCTCTCGTGATTTATTCTCTGTGGTTCTTTTCACATGCAGTGCTTTTTAATTTCCACACATGAGAGCTTTATATCATATTATATATATATTTCATTAGGTTAGTAAATATATGTATATTCCTATTCTGCTGAGAGTACTTGTCATGAATGTATACTGAATTTTACACAGTTTTCTGCATTTTTGAGACATAATATTTTATTTCCCTTTTAATCTCTTAGTGTGATTACTTGTGCTGGTTGATTTTCAAATATTTAAATGTATTATTTTCCCAAGAATAAGTATTTCTTTGTTATGATTATATGATTATATGGCTTTTAATTTCGTTTGCTTAAAATTCTTAGAGGGAATCCTGTAGCATAAGTTTATATTTTAAAATGGGAGACAGCATGAATGTAGAAAGAAAATCATATTGAAGAACATAAAAAGATAAGAAAAATATATAGACAAACATGAAGGGAATTGAATCCAACAAATCCTTGCAGAGGATAATTGAAATGGATAAGCTTCTGTTGAAATTTATTAAGAAAAAGGATCATAATCACTACATTAATATTAGGCACTAAAAATTATGAAAGTTTATCAAGTACAATGTTAGGCTATTTTAACGTTTACATGAGAAGGCCATGTTTGTAGAGACACTTATTAATAAAGAAGCAGGAATAATACATATAAATATAATCTGTTAAACAAACATATAGTTAAAAATAATTCACTAAATAAAACCTTTAATTTATTTCTGTATGAAGTAAGTAGAAAGGCAAAAAATCTGTATTTATCACTGAAAGTCCAAGCCAGTACATAAAAGCAAGTAAGAAATTTAAAGTCTTAATGGAAAGGAATTATTAATGGAACACAGCAGAAAATTGAGAATAATTTACTGATGAATGACTAGATTTAAAAAGCATATTTAGCAAGTCTATTGGGTGGGAGTGCATTATACAAAAATCAGTTGTATTTTTATACTCATTAGTGCACCTGATCTGTGGTTTCCCTTTCTCGTTTCAAATACTTATGGTCAACTACACTCTGAAAATAATACATGTAATAAGGTATTTGGGGGCAGAGACCCACATTCAAATAACTTTTATTAAAAAGTACAATCCAATAATTGTTCCATTTTATTATCACTTGTTGTTACTCTTTTATTGTGCCTAATTTATAAATTAAACATCATAACTATGTATAGTAGACAGAATAATACAATATAGGGTTTGGTACTATCCATGGCTTCAGGAATCAACTGGGGGGCTAGGAATATATCCTGCACAGATAAATGGGGGGTGGGAACTATGCTCTGAGACAATTCTGGTAACCACACTAAAGTATACACATAGCTGAATTCTTGAACCTTGTAGGAAACATCCAGAAGATTTCTTGAAATTTTTAGTGTTTGATTATAGCATAGATAAGTCAGTGTATTTTTTAATAATCAGGGCAATTTTAGATACTATAATTAAGGGACTTGGTTATTTGTGCCTCTGTTTATATCCATGTTGAAATATGGGATTAGAAAGGATTTTGTGAGTAATTTTCTTGTTAACTAGTTGTTCACTAATGATGACTGATGTGGATTCCTCAAAACAATCCACCTTCTTCCAAGATGAACTGATAGAATCCTGTCCATGCAGAATCCTACAGCAATAGTCATCAGGGGACCAAAAAACAAAACAATGCATAAAGGTACCTACAATTCAGCTTCTTTGATAAAAATATTTTCTTTCTCGTTTTAAAATTCAACTCCCCAAGCACATGCACGCGCACACACACACACACACTTTATTGAGGCATAGGTGATATACAAAAATTGCACATTATGTATGTACTTCAGTGAGTTTGATATTCTGAACTTAAGTGGAGAAAAACATATTTGTGTATTTCAAGATAAAAATCAGTTTTCTTATTAGCATAATAAAATTAGCATCTTTCACAACCCCTCATGTGCCAGGAACTTCTGAGGATTCTGTGGACACATTCCTTTTGTATCCTAATAGCAGAGCATGGAGATAGACTTTAGTTACAGGAGTCGCTGGGTTATTCTAGGGATATTTCTGGAGTTCTCAAAGATCATCTCTTGTAAACTGTACTATTCTAATCATTTTTTAATAATTATCTCATTTGATATAGCAAAACCATGAGCTAATCACTCTTGCCACTACACTACAACCACAAAAACTACCTCTGCCATCTCCTCCTCTTCTTCACATCACCATCCCTATCATTTGTCAGATGAAGTAAAAGAGGGGGATTAATTGCCCAAGATGAATTCCTCCATTCAAGCATGGTGGATTCAGGATTCTCTAATGCCTTAAATCCTTATTCTAGACACTGGCTTTTATCTCCTCTGCTTAGTGCCTTTTCCCCTCACAAACACACAATGGTACCTGAACATTGAACTTGAAGTAGTTGTGTGTGCTGGGGGGAACTTCTTTGAGATGTGTGTATCCTTTTGATATGGATTTATCATCCTTGAGGCTGGCTCAGCATGCCTGAGCTATTTGAAATAAAAGACTCTGGGCCTCCCAGCTCATTTCTGTCCTTTACCTTAGGCCACTTCTGAAATAATCTCTTACCTCTCTGACTTCTGATAGGCTGCCTAGACTTTTGATATGCAGCACTGTGAACCAGTCACCCTTGTCACTCTGCTTTGTGGTGACTGAGTTACTTAGTCCATCCTGCTCACATGGAGTCTCACTTCCATTCAGAACAGTTGAATACCCAAATGCTGACTGTCCAGGAGATCTTGTGCTGTCCTTCAGACTGGGGTGTACACCATTGGCTTCAGCTCAATTCTGTGATAAGTTGAACTCAATAATTGGATAAATAATCAGATTTATATTTATAGCCTCAGACTCTCTGTGAAAATAATATCAATGCTTAAAAAAATCAACAGGAATGTGGACTATGATAGCCAGATACAATTCTTTGAGGCTAAAGATTTGACCAGCATAAGAAATATTTGCTTATTTCTCTCACTATGCTCTGCCCAATATTTCCAGTCATGAAATCTCATGATACATAAATCCATGAGATAAAATTTTAGTTCCTAATAGTATATATGTAATATTGTCACTAAAATGTAGATGTTTTAGATAGTAGGTCATGAACATGATTGGAATCTACTCAGGTGGGGATATGAAAACAAATGCTGCCCCCTGCTGGCTTAACATTGAGCAGACTAGAAATAGTCTACTACCTTTCTTCATTTCGGGGAATAGGGAATACTCTGATACGCTCTAGAATTTCTCTGCCAATCACTTAGCTATGGTATGTTTTAGAGAAGCTTGGTTCTAAGTTCTTTAATTTGTTGCAAAGGTCTCAGAGGCATTTCTTCTGAAAATATACTTTTGCTGCTTGGGGTGTGTTTCTTCCATCTCCCCCCAAACTATTCCCCAAAATCTTAATTTCCCCTTAGTGCAGGGAAGATTTATGTGTAGAGACACAACACTACTCTAGGGGTATATTTACTCTGAGGACCACAATTCACTACAATCACTTGGCCAAATGATGAGTGTTCACGAAATAAATGATCACACCTCTGGTGGATTTAGAAAGTAATGGTCTGACCTGTATGGTGAGGTTTGGGCAAATGGTCTTGGGAGCAGTGTCCTAGGTGGCTCGTCCTCCTGACAGACCCACTGGACACTACCGAAGGCCGGGAACTCCTGGGGACAAGCCCAGGGTGCGCAAGAAAAGACTCTGAATGAACCTGTCCAGAAAAGACTGTGCAAAGGACACACTGATCAGGAGGGTACAGGCTAGGAGAGGAGAGCAAGACCAATGCATCAGTTCACAGGACTGTGAAACTCGCTTTCCGG